TTGAAAAGGTTCGTACAAAATAGCATGAAATTTAAATTAAGTTCTTAATCCCATGGATTTGCATGATTGGTTTGAGGCCTCTGCTTCTTTCAATCTGTAATTATATAATTAGAAAGGTTAACTACATTATAAATGACACATTCCGACCTGGAATGTCCACTAGGACTCCGAATCGAGCTGTGCTGGCCGACACTTGGATTGTCACGTCCCGGCCCGGGCCCCCACCACATCTCAGGCTCGACTCCACTGTAGCACGATATTGTCCACTTTGGGCCCTGATCACGCCCTCACGGTTTTGTTTCTGGGAACTCACACAAGAACTTCCTAGTGGGTCACCCATCCTGAGATTGCTCTCGCGCGAACTCGTTTAACTTTGGAGTTCCGATGGAACCTGAAGCTAGTGAGTTCCCAAAAGGCCTTGTGCTAGGTAGAGATGAGAATATACATATAAGGCTTACAAGATCCACTCCCTTGGGCGATGTGGCATGTCATAATAAACCTTTTAGGTTTGGGGCGATTTTTAAAATAGGTCGCAACGTTTTAGTTTTCTCATATTGCACCCTAAGATATTAAAATCGTATTAATTTATGCTTACAGTTTCATTGATTGTATGATAATCATTAAATTGTTGACATGGTAATCTTGAGACTTTTATGTATGGGCTAACATGTAAACCTCATTTGTACCAAACTGACAAAAAAATCATCAATTAATAAAGTATTAGACATTCAAGGAGACAAAATGTGCAAGAATGATGTTGGAGAGACCATCTATTTGGACCATATTTTGTAGACCAAATAATGCTAAGAAGACCAAAATTTTAAACTAAATTTTGGAAACCAAATGATGTGGTTACCGATGATTGGATTATTACTCAAGCCTTGATAAACGTACTTATTTCCTAGTGGTGACACATCATTTAGTTTGTAAATTTGGTTTAAAATTTTCGTCTTCCTAGCATTACTCTTTGTAGACCATATAATGTGACAATTGATGGTGGAGTCTTCTTTAAATGATCAATAAAAGAATCCAACTATCAACCATCATATCATGTGACCTACAAAATATGGTCTAAAACTATGATCTCTCTAGCATTTTTCAACGTTTAAATTGCTACAATTTAAAAAACCTCATACTACAATGTGATGAGAGAATTGAAATCTCATGGTCCATTTTGAAAACTTCAAACTTTATAAAATGTAGTTAGCCATAATTAGTACAACCAATCCACTTTATAGCAATAGAAGAAGATAAATGATTTTCACTATCATGTGCACTTCTTTCGCTCTTTTTTCTTATATATGATTAGGATTAGTGTCGTATCAATTAAAGAAGAATCAGTAAATAAACATAAAGCAGAGAGAAAATTGAGAGTGTTAAAATCATTACCCTCAAGAAATCATGCAATTGCCTACCTTACGGGACTTGAAAGAATAAATCAAGTTCAGAATAGTTTGCCAAAGTGTTAGGTGATGCGTAAAGCGTACTGTAAGAGATCCTTCATCACGTTCTCACTTGTCATAAGGAGATTTAATGAGATTTAATATCTAATCTCCTGACGGGTCAAAGAAATAATAAAAAAAGTCCTTCACCTTACCAAAGTCATCGATCATCTAGAAGTCAATAATTTCCACCACGGTTTTGGACGCGTTTGCCGTCTGCAATAAAATACTTTCCTTGAGATCCTCTTTTCCAGGAAACTCATACCACTAATTAACGCATTGGAAGTGGCCAAACTCCAAACAGTATATATAACAACACACCTCTTCCATCATTTCCACAAAAAACTCCCTCCACTTGAAAGTTTCAACCTTCAGTACAAAAGCAAAGCAATTTCTATTCACTTCTCTATCAGAAAAGAAATAAGAGACATGGCTGAGAAGACACAACAGGCTTATCCTTCAGCCCCAGAAAACCATGGCTACCAAAGAAGTGATGCAGAGTCTTTGCTATCCGCCGATGAACTGAAACGCAAGAAGAGAATCAAATTGGCAATTTATGTTGCTATCTTCGTTGTGTTTCAGATCATTGTCATAACTGTGATTAGCCTCACAGTCATGAAAGTTAAGACCCCGAAGGTCAGGCTAGGCAATATCAACGTCCAAGAACTCAACTTCGTCGCGGCAACACCTTCATTCGACACAAAATTCACAACCCAAATCAAGGTGAAAAACACAAACTGGGGTCCTTACAAGTTTGATGCTAGCACTGTCACGTTTATGTACCAAGGCACGGCTGTTGGGCAAGTAGTTATTCCAAAGAGCAAGGCTGGAATGCTTTCCACCAAAAAAATGAACGTCGAGGTGAGCTTGAGTTTGAGTGCATTAAGCGGTTCCAATCTTGGTACTGAATTAAGCGGCGGGGTGTTGACTCTCAACAGTACGGCTATGGTGACTGGAAAGGTTGAACTGATGCTTATAATGAAGAAGAAGAGGTCTTCCACCATGGACTGCACTGTTGCATTTGATCTGTCATCCAAGACGCTCAAAACTTTGGAATGCAAATGATAAGACTTTCGAGATGAAGATTATTACTGTTATTTGTTTATTCTTGTTTCTCAGTGTACTTTCTTTTTTCTTTTATATGATTGAATATATATATATATATATATATGTAGAAACATATGCTTACAAATCATTCCATTCACAAAATTCTAATAATGTAAGATGAATATAGTTTTATACACTTCAAGTATGAGTTGGGCAGCGCGGTGTTGACGCTGAGCAGTAAAGCTAAACTATCTAAGCAGCCACAATGGACTGCACCATTGCATTTGACTTGTTCACAAAGACTGTCCAAACTTACAAGACCAGTACTTCTTGATCACCTGGTTTATATGTTTAAATGCCAACTTGAGCATCAGAATCTGGAAGTGTCCATGTAGGCAACAAGTCTTGTAGGGATATTAGCATGTTGGATATTTATTAAGTGCAGTCATTTAGTCTCTAAAAGCATGCAACAACTTGGCAAAAATAAGAGCCATTACCGTAAGCTAACCAATAAACGAGATTCTTTCTTACGTGTCGATGCAAATTTCCACCGTTTTCAGTCTTGACGAAAATGCACCTGCAAAACAATCAACACCTTTGATTGAAGAACTAAGCCTCACGCGCCCGCCCACGAGGTGGTGGGGGGCGGGGGGGGGGTGCGTTAGGTCAATAGATCTCCGATGCCTAAGTTATTTAATAGGAGATAATATCTTGAGATAATGGGGTAATTATCCCTACTTGATTTAAATAAGGATTACTTACTTGATTGGAGTCAATCTTCAATTTAGGAATGTACTAAAGATAAGGATTTGGGTAATTAATCCTTATCTTTAATTCCTTACCAAGGGCAGGTGGTCAGTCGTATTCAGCTGCTGAGATCTCAATGGATGCAAGTTGCACGTGGGAGCATCTGAGAAACCTGCCCATTTATTGAGGGCAATCTTGTCTTTCTTGAATAAAAGTCTACGTGTCACCTCTAAAAAATTATGGAGTGGACTTTACAAAATGTGTGTCAAAAAATAATTGTCCTCCGATCCTAGCCCTATATATATATACACACACACACACGTACATACACAGGCCCTTTATGCAAAGGGATCCCCATTTCTTTTAAAAAAATGGGGATTAGGTGTGGGGCTCACTTCACATCGAACTTCAACGATTCGAACCATCTATTTTGTAAGTCTCGATTCATAGATCATCCTTGCAAAAATTCAATTCAATCCGAAATCATTTGCCTATTTAATTATCAAGATAAAATTTCATTGTTTCTTATATAACAAAATATTCGTTAATTTCTTTAAATTCAATTAGATGTCTTAAACATTTCCGATTTGGCTAATATTTTGCAAGGATGATTTATGAGGTGCAACTTGAAAAATAGACGGTTCGGATTGTTAAAGTTTGATGTAGTGTGGATCCTACAACTAATCTCCATTTTTATAAAAAAATGGAGATCTCTTCCCTTAAAGATTTCCTATATATATGTATGTGTGTGTATGTATATATATTTAATATCCACAAAACAATTTTCCATCACTGTAATGAGGAACTTAGGTCGACAAGAAGTACTTAACCAAATTTTTGGCATGGATTTTCTTCCCTGCCTCTACTTTACTGGGACAAAAAGTTAAAAGCTCGTTACAGGGCGAAAAATGTCGACAAGTACATGCTTTCACTGTAAAATGTGAGCCACCATGCTTCTCTGTCATAATTAATGTGCAAGTTCTTGTTGGTGAAAGTTGGTGTGCAAATTTTAACAGACAGGAAATTTGATAAAGGATATTAATACTTGTGACCATCACCTAATGGAAACTTACTTGTGATATAACGTACTTCCACTATACAAGCATCATAAGCGGGTATCTATTCATTCTCTTTATTATCATATAAATGTTAACTTTAAAATAATCATTCAATTTAGAGATCATTTAGTCATCCATTCGTGTCAAATAAATTAATGATTTTTGTAACAAATATCATCATCATGGTGAACAACCCATTTGTTTGATGCATGTGGATGGCACCTAAACATTCTAAAAATTGTTTTTTTTTTTTTTTTAAGAGATGATCTTTACATGATGATAAAAAAAAAAAAAAAAGAAGGAATAGTTATGATTATGATGTTGAACAAGTAAGTTGCCCCATAGGGTGAATACAAGTATTTTCTCAGGTTTTTTCATGTACTTACTCAATATCACGTTCTTCGCCCCCCTTAAGGGACAAAGTATAGATATATTTATTATATGGTCCCAATTGGATGTCACCGAGGCTTCAATAGATAAATAAGTGTACATTTTTCATCTTGCATTACAAGTCATGTCCATGGAACCATTTAGAAGGCAAGAATCTCATCTAAGCGTGTTTGCATATTCCAATTGAAAAATGCAAAATGGTCACTTTGATTCCAGAACTCATTTGTACTTATTCCCTTCCAATTCAAGTAAATACATTAATTAGTCAAGATGTCTAAACAATATAAATACACAATATTGCTACCATTACCAAACGTAGAACTCTTATACTTCTCAATCAATCATTGAGAAGTACAAAACCATAAAAACGAAAAATGGCTGAGAAGTACAGTCACATGGGACCGGTTCCTGTGCTCCACGGAAAAGATGAAGAATCCGCGGTGTATTTGCAATCTGAGGAGCTCAGACGTCAAAAAAGAAGGATGATGTACAAGTACATTGGTATTTTCCTTGTAGTTCATATCATAGTAATCACAATAATTGCACTCACTGTGATGAAGGTTAAGTTCCCGAAGGTCAGGTTAGGCAACATCAACGTCCGAAGCCTCAACTCTGACCCAACAACACCTTCGTTTGACACGAGCTTCACAACCCAAGTAAGTGTCAAGAACACAAACTGGGGTTCTTACAAGTTTGACGCTGGCACTGTCACGTTTTTGCACCAAGGCGTGACTATAGGGCAAGTTTCAATTCCGAAGGGCCAAGCTGGAATGCGTTCCACCAAGAAGGTCAGTGCCACGGTGAGTTTGAACTCGCATGGCAGTTCCAATCTTGGCAGTGAATTGAAGAGTGGGATGTTGACGCTGAGCAGCCAAGCCAAATTGAGTGGAAAAGTTAAATTGTTTTTAATTATGAAGAAAAAGAAGAGTGCTACAATGAATTGCACCGTAACAATCGATTTGTCAACTAAGACGGTCAAAACTCTAAAATGCAAATGATCACAAACTAAGCAGTGAGTGAAAGAGGATTGGAGTTGAACTGCGTTTTATTAAATCATTAATTAGGATTTTTTCTTTTTCTTTTAAGGTTTGTGCTTGAAGAATTGGAAATTGGGACCTATTCCAAGGTATTGGGAACACAGCCACACCAATAACCAGTCGGTTTCATATGATTTATTATTATTTGTGTGATGCTTGAACTTTTTTTGAACGCGAAGAAGCAGCGGTTATGCAGTCTTTCTCATTTTTTATTTGTTCTTCTTTTAGACTTTTTTGTTTGGTTGAATACAGAGAAGGACTGCATAACCGCTGCTTCTTCACGTTCAAAAGAAGTAAATAAATAAAACGAAACGTAGGAAAAATATACTAGAAAAAAGATAAGGAAGATACTGCCTGGAGGCTGGAATTATGTCACCTAGATATTTATCTTTGAGAATTATTTATAGTAGATCAAACAGCATCTTAAGCTGGACAAATTAGACAGCAATGTCACACCCCACTGCAAACAAGACCACAGCTTGTAATTTGTCCCGTTGTAAGACAAAGACTAGGCATTAATTAGGTATTAATTAGTCAGTTGAAGTTAGGGTTGGATTGGATGAATCTGAAGGGGTGACCATCCCAAACAATGGAAATTTTTACCACTTTACTAAAGTTTCTGTTAGTTTATAGGCTCCATGCATGTCGCAATCTTTATGGTCCTTCTCAATTACTAAATGTTTGAATTTTACTACATACTATTTTGGGATGAAAGTGTCAATATTTTGTTACAGAGGTTTCCAAAGGATCTGTTCAAAACCTAAAACAACAGCACTATCAATCTTCATTTAACCAAAGAAAAAAGAGTACAAGTGCAAAATTGCGTTTTGGTATGAATACGTATATACCGAGCTATAGGATATGTGAAAACGAAAGGCAACAGAAAAAAAAACATTCAAAATTTAGGAAAATATAAAACAAGTACAAAGAAATCTTTGGTCTGTTTTCACTTGCACTCTAAACTTTTGAGCGTCTTCGATGACAGATTGAATGCAATGGAGCAGTCCATGGTGGAAGCCTTCTTCTTTTTCATTATTAACATCAATTCAACCTTTCCGGTCAAACTAGCCGCGCTATTGAGAGTTAACACCCCGCTGCTCAATTCACTCCCAAGATTGGAACCCGTCAGTGCATTCGAATTCAAGCTCACCTCGACATTCACTTTTTTGGTGGAAAGCATTCCAGCCTTGCTCTTCGGAATAACCACTTGTCCGACAGCAGCTCCTTGGTACAAAAACGTGACAGTGCTAGCATCAAACTTGTAAGGACCCCAGTTTGTGTTCTTGACCTTGATTTGGGTTGTGAATTTCATGTCGAATGAAGGTGTTGCCGGGAAGGAGTTGAGTTCTTGGATGTCGATGTTGCCTAGTCTGACCTTTGGGGTCTTAACTTTCATAACAGTAAGACCAATCACGGTTATGACAATGATTTGAAACACAATGAAAATTGCAACATAAATGGCTAACTTGATTCTCTTCTTGCGTTTGAGCTCGTCAGCTGATTGCAAAGACTCAGCATCACTTCTTTGGTAACCATTGGTTGCGAGGACTGAAGGATAAACCTGTTGGGTCTTCTCAGCCATCTTAATTGCTTTTGCTGAATAAAAGCTTCGAAAGAAAAATAATCTGTTTGGTTTCTCTCTTTCTCTATATTAAAATATGAACTGATGAGCAAATGTGTTGATTGTGTGAATGTTTGTTGTGTGGAGCTTGGTATATATGTAGTGTTTTGGATAGTGAGTTAACTAGAGACATCAGCGGTGTTAATAATTTCCTGGAAACTGGAAACATAACGTGCAAATAATTTTTTTGTATTTTATTGACTTGTAGTTTTAGACTTGTAACACTCCAGTAGATGATTGAGAATATGATTACAAACCTGTTTATTATATAGTATTATATAATAAGGATTAGGTTTATTTGTTGATTTGTTCCTTTAAACTGTCATGTAATCTTATTTTACTCTCTGAAATTAATTTTGTTTTCCTTTGCCTCCTAAAACAACTATTTTCATTAGTCTCGATTCATCCATTGTTATACATTCCATCAAATAAACGTTAAATTAGAGAGTAGTGTGGACATTTCATTATTGAAAGTGAAACAGCTATTTGCCTCCAACATATGCCACCTAAAATAATCTCACAACTCTAATTCAAACTCATGTAATCGAATCCAACAGCTTCAACTACAACTCTGCACCAATCTGCACAAAAAAAAAAAAAAAAAAAAAAAAAAGGCGCAAAAGAGATGAATGGAGCCTTGAATTTGAGTTATAAAAAAATGGAGTTTGGATTGTTTTCACAAAGAGTTGGGTCAAAAATAAAATGTCGATAACATCTGTTTGACAAAATAGATAAAAATGAGATGAATTGAAATTAATGAGACAAAAATAAAAATTTCAAGAGTCAAAATGAAACAAAACTAATTCTACAAAATAAAATAACACTAAATGTCAATTTCTGAAGCAAATCAAATAATAAACCAATAACACTATATTTACTCAACACAAAACAAATAAGGGGTTCACCAAGTGAGACAGAGTCAAAGCTAGAAGTAGATATTTTTATTTTTATTTTTTTAGCTATTTAATTATTTCCACCATAAGAAGAAGAGTAAGTGAAGTGCATTACCATTCCACAGGGAACCTATTAGACCATCTAGAAGACGAGTAAGTCAAAGACTGCTAACCGTCCGCACTTATGGACTTTTACTTTAGACCATCTGGAACACTACAAAAACATGTATGTGGCACTGGTGGCAACTAGAGCACAATTGGTCCCTCCACATCACGATATATGCGTTAACGAAAAATACACGACTGGGCAGGGTATTATTTTTCTTTTTCTTTCGATGATTTCATCTCAATATGTTTTATATATCCTATTAGCCATGTGTCCACACGTTATGCGTTGTGTTATTAAATTTAATCTATCAATTTGCTATGACTTATATTTATATCAACTTTTTAGGCAATTTAAAAAAAAAAAAAAATTGGCTTTGAAGAAATTGGGGTGGTGTGGAGGTTTTGAAAAAGGGAACGTGGGCGGTGGAGTTTTATTTTTATTTCTGGTTATTCTTTATATATATATATATATTTGTTATAGTATTTTATTTGTTGTTTGACATAATTATCCATACTCAATTAACTAATTTTTTAAAATTTAGTAATTTGTATAGGGGTATAATTGTATTTTAATGCGCTTTAGGTTGCCAAGAGGTATTCTCTTAGAAACAGTACGGTTGGTGAAGCTTCAATTAGTTGACTCAGCTAGTAAGACTAGACTATCTCTATTTCAAGGATAGGAAATTACAAAATTTAGCACCATATTTTTACTATTAATATATATGAGGTTAGTCCCTTTTCCATCCAAGATTATGAACCTATTATTTTTCACCTTTAACTTTATAGTTTGTTAAGTTTTTTGTATTTTAAGGGGAAAGAGAACAGATCTCCTCTATAAGAATAGAGAGTAAGAAAGTCTCTTTAATCTTTCTTGTTTGTTAACAATTTTGGAATTAGTTTTTGTATTATCTATCTTTTTTCTCACAATGGTTTGATGTAAAAAAATTATTTATTTGTTATTTTTTTTTTTTATGGATTACACATAAATGGATGGGTGCATTATAGAGTTTAATGTGTTGGATCTGATTTGGATTATTGATAATATTATTTTGACGGTTTAAATCTAAGCTATAACAACCCATCCCAAATTTTACAATTTTATTAATTTTGAAGGAGTGAATTGACAAAAATGCCCGTACTGGTAAGGTTATTGACTTTCGTTGACCATTATTTTGTGACGCGTATGAGCTATTATTTTACCATATTCTCGAAGTACTCGATGGTACAAATACGTGGGCGCAAGAGAATTCGAATTTGGAGCTATGATGGAGATTTTATGAACTTACGAAGATGAATGGCATTTTAGTAAATTCACTATCCTTGATCATTGGCCTAAGTTATTTTATTATTTTTCTTTCAAATTTTGTTAAGTATGGGACCCATGCCCACCACTCACTCTCTTCCACATGGGACTTTCCTTACCACACATCCAGACCCCCTCTCTCTTCTCTTGATTTTCTCCCTCACCTCTTTCTTGCTCTAAATCTCCCTCTCCAGAAATCACATATCACCACCTCCGCTGAACCCAGACCGAGCAGACCGCACCAACCAACACCACCTTAAGACCCTCCCAGTCTTGATCTCAAACCAGGTCGAGGCCTTTCTCCCTCATTCTCTCTACATAGTGACACCATCACTGTGCATATTTTCCTCCATCGAGGTTTTGAATTTCTGACAATGGTAAGTTCCAAAACCACCTAAAATTTCTTGGATTGTGTTTTGGTATATGTTTCTAGATTTTCTAAGGTTTTCAGTGGTGGTTTTGGTGCAGATATCAACTAGGGGAGACTTCCAAGTTTTCCAGATAGCCGCAATTTTTGCAGGCTATTTTCAAGCCACCTATTTTACTTGGGTAAGTAGATTCAATGTCCTCATCCTTTTATCTTTCCTTTGGTTTAATTTTGGAGTGAAATGGCTAAAAATCGAGCTCGATCGCAACACCAAAAGTTTCTAGGTCAAACCAACCCAAAAACTGACCCATGACTAGGATTGGGTCGACCCGACCCGAAGAAAAAAAAAGATCCAAACTTGGATATGTGGACCAAATCTGACCTGGATCCGCAAGTCTGACCCGGGTCTATTTTTGAAATTGGAGGGAATATTTATTTGGAATATTTCGTCAACTTTAACAAAATATTTCTTCTAGGATGGAATATTCTGTTGAAGTTAACTGTTGATCGTTAGTTGATTTTTGTTGACTTTTTCAAAATTTTCTCCGAAACCCTCGTAAGCTAATTTCGAAGCCTAGAGTCCTTTTTTGATATCCGTTTAGCTAAAGTCCTAAGTTTTAACGTAGTTGATCGCCGATGTGACCTAGTTGACTCTTTAGGGTTGACCGTTGACTCTTTGTTGACTTTTTATGAAAATTGCCCGAGACCCTTTTTAGCGTATTTCGATGCCCTGATTTCAAATCCGCAGTCCGTTTTCTCAAATTTAATCGTTTTAGTTGAGTTTTACTGATGGGACTCAATATTATGCTTAAGTGTGAATACTATCGGAGACTTCAGCTTTTCTAGTTCGAAAGGATACGGCCTCGCAAGTATCTGTGAGTGAGTCTTTTCTTTTATATAGTATATATATATTTATTTAGTTTCCACATATATATTTAATAATGAATTTTCTATGTGATTGCCATAATTAAATTAACATTTACAAGAAAGGTCGTAATGTTGAGAATTATGAAATTATTCTGAATCTTATAGGATGCACATGTATGCGTACTATTATGGGATGTCTTAATTATATTTGCAACATGAGAAGTGTTATGTTACCTACAATTATCGATTTACCGTTGCATGATCATATTTACGTTATTTGCTCATTGTGTGCTGCATTGGTGTTAGTACTCACTCGAGGGCTAGGGCCAGTCTGTCACGTGTATGTTCAGATTGCATCGTATGCTCACTTTGGATCCATTGTAGGTACTAGTCCTGTCCTAGATTGCTATAGACAATTAGGACTCATATGTGATGCATATAGCGCCAGTCTTCACGTGATTTTAGTACTAGAGCGTATATCATTATTACACTTAGTCCTGTTTTTGTCAGAATACCTTTGCATGAACTCGTGTGTCATCATATGTCGATGAGCACTTGATATGATAGGTTTTCTTATGCGAGATTATGTGATTACGGATGTCATGTGTTTATTTATGAAAGTTTGTGATGTATCGCATTCTTGAGTTACTGCTGGTTATGGTACGTATTTTCATATTATACGTAGTATGTTATATTTGGAAACTATGCATGTTTTATGGCGAAGGGTTATTATATTTTCAAAAAGGTTTTACAAAACATTATTTTTAGACCCACTCACCTTTATTTTTCACCCCTTCAGGTTTAGTAGCAGAGCTTTTGTGATGAAGATTCCTGGCAAATGTTGGTATAGGTGATTACCCTTGATTGTATAATTCTTATTCTACCTTACTGTACTTTTCATATGCTCTGACATCACGTGTGAATTGTGTTCAATCCCGCTCACATGCGCACTCTTACATTTAGGCACTTTAGGTTTAAATTTATTCACTTTTTCCACATCACTACAGTTTATGGCTTCGTCACCTTCCTGTATCGGCCAGCACAGCTCAATTCGAAGTCCAGGTGGACACTTTGGGTCGGGGTGTGTTAGTTTGGTATCAGAGCATAAGTTTGGGCAATATTGCGTCCATCACATACGTGATGTAAGCATTCTCAGTTTTTGAACCTAATGTCGAATCTTGCCACCCCATCGAATACAAAAAACGTGTTAGCTTTTCCTAAGTTTTGGACAGATTAGGCGACTTATTGACATGCTAGAAAATCGTTTTGGCGAACGCCTTCAGACTTCAAGTGAAGAATTTCCCTGCCAAGGAAAATCCCTGTTTGGAATGAATTGTTGGCCCTAAAGCCGGGCTAATGTATTGATAGTTGTGTACCACTAGGAATTTACCAATTAATCCCATTACTACTATCCACTCATCATTACTAACCCTTCAAGTTAGGAACCTAAAAATAGCTTTGATTCCTTGGCGGTACCATTAGTATACCACCAATCAAATTTCCTACAAAGTTTTACTTTCTGTCAAAATCTCTGAAAATGTCTCGAATGACAATGTGGTGCTAAAATGCTAGCACTCGATGAAGAACATCTTGGGGACAATCACTTTTGATCCCCAACAACACCAATCTTTTAAACGTAGTTATAATTTCGGATCTTTAGGAGGAAAATCAAATATCATTAAACCTGTTCTAAAGTAGGTTAGTAGTGAATTCCTTTTCCTAGGCTTAGAGCACTTCAATCAATACTAGTTCCCAAAATTTCTTTCAATGTTGTACTCGTCATTTCAATGAGTATAGGCATGAGACTGCAAATTGTTATACCTACGGTTAGTAGAAATCCTCGAAGCAGTAAGTATTTTCCCCATAATCAACGAAACCAACTCACAGGACCAGTTCCTTACCAATCATTCGAAACCATCCACCCGAGCAGGCTTAAACCTGTAATCAGCCTACGATGGTGCTACTACTTGTTGATATTGTCCGACATCCAGAATATGTCAACCAGTATTCAGGGGGTATGATTTATGAAATCGGACACATGCTACTATCTAGGAGTGATATCTTTATGCCCGAACGCTGGTTCACAATTTTAGGATAATAAACAATATCAAAATATCTTAAATGCGTTAATTAGCAATGTGACTAATAGACTGATTAATTTTGACTACCAAAGCCGAAGGAATTACAATTGTGGAAATTTAGGAGTAAGCCTTGTAGGAGGACCGTAAACTTGCAGTTGTGTAAACCATTTTACCCATCTAGGTAACCAGAAGATTCTCAACTAGTCGCCTTTCTGATCAACTCCACAGACAAACATTAAAATTGAAGCATGAGTTGAATTATTCCTGTAAGAGTGAATTGAGCATCGTGAAAGCTGTGAAGACTTGTTAGTACATGTTGTAGAGAAAAGAAGTAGTATTGTACGTTCTGAGGAAACATATATCTCTGATATCACTTTTCAAAATTTTACATGGGATACCACTAAATTGTGAAGTGAAGTACACCACCGATTCACTTTCTCGTACTACACCAGTTTTCCTTGCATATTTTCGAACTACTCCTACATCATTGAGAGAACTTAGTTACAAAGGCTTACCAATTAGGAATTTACCTAACCAAATACTTTATCTAGGGAACCTCAAACCTAGTCACGAGGATGATAGACCGAACCTTAGGATGGTACCTGGATTCCTGGCAACATAATTCGGTGACGATTAAAACCTATACTTCAAGTTGATGGTCTGTCTGACCAACTTTTTAGAGTCCAAATTTTCTTTCATAGCCTAACGAATTTGTAGTAGTCTTATCGACAACTTTCTCACCTACTTTAGAAATGAGATCAAATTTTCTAAACACTGATAGTCAACTTTATACCAAGTTCTCCAGATGTTAGCTTTGTTAGATTAGGTATCTTTCTTGGAAGATATGATCTCAGCTGGCGATATTATATTTATTTCCCCAAAAGGTTGTAGCAGTGTGACATTCCCACAAATTATTGTGAAATGCGAGACGTCCTTGGCCTTGTCGATTTTGATCGGCGGTTTATTAATGATTTTTCAACTATAGCATTTTCCTCACAAGTTAACAAAGGAAAGTTAGTTTACCTTTAGATGCTAAAGGTGGATAAAGTTTCTGACAACTGAGGTGTTGCTTCTTTTCGACCATTGTTCGTACACCCTTCGATAACAACGATGATTACATAATCTATAATGATGTTTCACTAAATGATTTGACTGCGTACCAATGTAGCATGACAGAGTATCACTTATGTTTTTTTGATAGTCAAAACCGTATGAAGTGAACCATCTTACTCATGACTTAGAATTAGCAGCTACCATCTTTACTTGAAAACTGGATGACACTTTTCTATGGAGAAATGTGTCCAAAATCTTTACTAGCCTTAGACTTCTCAAATGTATCTTCATTTGAAAGGAACTAAAATTTTGACAGCGACGATGGAAGAACCAAATCAACATCTACGATTGCACCATCGTGTATCACCCCGGTTATGCAAATGTAATTACTGTTACAGTAGCAAAAGACATATATCCCTTGAACACTTTCAGCCTATCCTATCCCATTTCAGCTAGAATTCACGAGTATTGATACGACGTTACTTACAAACTATCAAGAAATCGTTCGAGTGGTTATAATCAATTATGATATCTAAATAGAGATGGAAAATATCACCATAAGTTCCCAATACAAGTTATCTTGTACATGTGGAGATTATGATGATATTTTGGTGATTTTCGACCAGCTTGACAAGTTAGCTCACTTTCTGTTGGTCCCAAAGGGGCAACATTTTAGACCACTTGGTAAGATTCATCATTTTTTATTAGTTTTGCTAGCAGTTTCAATCAGCATTTACTCTGACTGTAATTCCATATTCATCTATTTGTGCCAGAAGGCATTCCAGTCAACCTTAGATACGTGTCTATCCTACTGCATTTCGTATTATTTAATATGCAGATAGATTGTCTAGGAAATTCGCTCAGACATATAATTTTTAGTTGTGACCGTCAACTCTTCAATCACTCAACAATTACTCTGCTGAACAAATCTTTACTGTTGGTGATTGAATCTCTTGGAAGCTACCGTTGTAGCGAGATGTTATGCATTCAATCAGTTATCTTGTACTCTTGATTTGATGGACTTGTTTTGACCTTCAAATTCTTGGGTGTTCTTTTAGCCTTCTTGACATAGTTCTTTTATCTTGTACTTGCTAAGACGTTGTCAACTACATTATTTAGCTACATGGTGTCCATGTTACTATTGTATCTCACTGTGATGCGCGTTTAACTTCTAAGTCTTGGGAAGTCTTCTTGAAGGCCATGAGTACTAAGCTTTTGTTTTTGTCCAGTACCACATTTCACCCTCAGACTAACGACCAGTTTGAACGAATTATTCAGACCTTAGTGGACATGTTGCGTTTGTCTGTTCTGTAGTTTTTGCAAGGTTATGGTAAACACTTATCCTTGTTTGAGTTACGTACAATGATAATTATTATTCTAGTTTGGCTATGGTATCGTTTGAGCCATTTTATAGAGATTTTATGCATAGTACATGATTGACAAATGAGTATTGCAAACATGTATTTGAATGATCGAGATTACACTGTAGCAAACTTGTGTTTTATTGACGTTGTCACCCAAAAAGGTAGTACGTGAGCGCGAACGAGGCATTATTCAGTTGTTTTATGCGTATTTCCTAATGGGGGACAAGATGGTATATTTCACCCTTGGGAATTATTTGCTTGCTTATTGTGACAACAATGAGTTGTTGGTATTCTGGATTGCATATTGTAATACCGATAACTTATTCGTTGGATTCATTAAGCAAGTGGATAAGTAGGCCCGTCTACTTTATTATTTATATTTATTCATTGAGTTATTTATCTATGGTTGGGGCTTGACCCAAAGATACTACATGCTTGTTCTCGGAGTACGTGACGCTATGAGTGTGTGGTGAAAATTTTCTATGTTCGATTTTGATTTTAGTAGAACTATTATAAATTTACATTATTAAATACGTATTTTGGCGTTATGTTTTAATATATCTATTTTTGACTTTATGTCTTTTATTTTATAAAGGTATTATATTACAGTATTATGTTGAAGGAGAAGGAAGTTTGAGTTGGAGGCATGAAAGAGGAATTATTGCAATCTGATCGCAACAGAATGACATGTTCTTTTATGCAACTGCTCTAGCTGGATATCTTCTTTACATATACTTTTCTTTTGTATTTTTACTATTTTATGTACAACAAGTTATTTCAAATTTTAGGGATGAAATTTTTTTAAGGTGGGTAGATTGTAACAACCCGTCCCTAATTTTACAATTTTATTAATTTTGAAAGAGTGAATTGACAAAAATGCCCCTAGTGGCGAGGTTATTGACTTTCGTTGACCGTTATTTCGTGACATGAGCTATTATTTTATGGTAATCTCGAAGTACTCAATGGTACGAACGCGTGAGCGCAAGAGAATTCGAATTTGGAGCTACAATAGAGATTTTACGGACTTACAAAGACAAAGGGTATTTTAGTAAATTCACTATCCAAGATAATTGGCCTAAGTTATTTTATTATTTTCCTTTTAGATTTTGTTAAGTGAGGGACCAATGCCCACCACTCACTTTCTTCCATGTGGGATTTTCCTCCCTACACATCCGTACCCCCTTTCTCTTCTCTCTATTTTCTCCCTCACCTTTGTCCCGCTCTAGCTCTCTCCCTCTCTGGAAATCACAGATCACCACCTCCGTCGAACCCACGCCGTGGAGACCGTACCAAACACCACCACCTTAAGACCCTCCCAGTGTTGATCTCAAACCAGGCCGAGGCCTTTGTCCTTCATTCTTTCTTTGCACAATGGCACCATCACTGTGCATATTTTCCTCCGGTGAGCTTTTGAATTTTCAACAATGGTAAGTTCCAAAACCACCTAAAATTTCTTGGATCGTGTTTAAGTATATGTTTTTAGCTTTTCTAAGGTCTTTAATGGGGGGTTTTGGTGCAAAAATCAACTCGGGTAGACTTCCCTAGTTTTAGGGCGAGAGCCGCGATTTTTGTAGGCAATTTTCAAGCCTCTCCAGCCACCTATTTTACTTGGGTAAGGTAGATTCAATTTTGTTGTCCTTTTATCTTTATTTTTGTTTGGAGTGAAATAGCTAAAAATCGAGCTTGTTCGCAACTCCAAAAGTTGACAGGCCAAACCAGCCTAGAAACTGACGATTGCAGCTGTGCAACCCGCGACTGGGACTGGGTCGACACCCAACGAAAAAAAAAATCCAAACCTGGATCAACAAGTCCAACTTGGGTCCATTTATGAAATTGGAGGGAATATTCAGTTAACTCCCAGTTAACTTTTCGAAATTTTCTCGGAAACCCTTCTAGGCTAATTTCGACGCCCCAAGTCCTTTTTTGACATTCGTTTAGTGAAATTCTTGGCAAATGTTGGTATAGTTGATTACCTTTAATGGTATAATTGTTATCATACATTTATTGTACTTTTCTTATGTTCTGACATCACATATGAATTGAGTTCAATCCAGCTCACATGCGCACTCTTACATTTAGGCACTTTAGGTTTAAATTTATTCACTTTTTTTTCACATCACTACACTTTATGGTTTTGTCACCTTCCTGGTGTCGGTCAGCACAGCTCGATTCGAAGTTCAGATGGACATTCCAGATTGGGGTGTGTCATAAGCCGTTGAATCTTTTTTATTACCATTAAAATTTATTAATTGGATTTGAGCCGTCAGATTTTAAAAGTAATCTAAGAAGCAGGACAGCTGATGGATATTAACCGTCATAAAATCACATTAGCACATTTTCATGCTACCGTATGCCGCGGCAAACTAGAACATCCCTGTGTCAGTAGAACTGACGCGCGGGCCCTGCTGTCCCAATTTTTCACATGGGTTTGTTGCAACAATGGGCCCTTTTCCACCCAAAATCCCGGGATGGATATAAGACCCAAATACCAACTCTCAATCCCAAAATCTTGTTTTTCCCACCCCAAAACATACACACCTTAGAGAGGAAATATACCCAAATTATGAGATTTTATTTTCCCCGCCCTTGGGTTAGAGACAGTCTACGCAGACTCCAAAAACTGCTTCTTCATATTTTTGTTAACTTAGCTACTAAATAGACTCCAAAAACTATTTTGTCCAACGAGTTTAACTTAAGCATAAACATTTTCAAGAGACTCCTTATAGTTTTGTTACTTTAGCTAGTAAATAAACTCCAAAAATTGTTTTGGTTAGCCAGTTTAACTTAGCATCTGCAATATCAACAACTATTCTAACAAACTTTGAATATTTTATTATTCTTGAAGACAGTTTTAATATTTTTAATTTTACCTCAAAAATATTTTTAGTGCTTTCTTTAAGTTAAATTATCTGCCTTTAGTTAAATTTGGCTAGTTCATTACTATTCATGTAATTTAGGTTAGACGCTTACGGAACGACTAGACTAAGATTCTTATGGTGTTTGTCTATTAATAGACTAGTGACACACTCATTCTTTAAGGATGCATCATAGCGTGAAGCATGACAGAAATATTGTTGCTCAATACATGAGCTCTGCTCACACCATTGATATGATCGTTGCCATGCGGATTCTCCGGCACGTCAAGGGGGTTTAGATTTCAGCCTCACGGTGTGCCACTAATCTTATTATGCTTCCATGTTTGCTTATTCTGATGCTGATTGGATGAGTTGTCTGCATACGCGACGCTCCACTATTTGTTATCTTATCTATCTTGGATCCAATCTCATCTCATGGTGTTCGCAAGGAAACAACCGACTATTTCTCGTTCTAGTGTGGAATCCGAGTATATACACTTGCTCATGCATGCTAAGACGACATAAATTTTTCTTTGTTCTTGGTGAACTTGGTGTTCGGTTGTCCTTCCCAATTCCCCATTGTGACAACGTCAGTGCCACCTACCTTGTTGCCAATCTGGTTCATCATGCCCACATGCCACATTGAACAGGATTACTACTTTGTTCGTAAAAAAGTAGCTTTGGGTAGTCATTGGGTTTGTTATATCTCCTCTGCTAATCAACTCGCTGACCTTCTCACCAAGGCTCTTCACAAGCCATGCCATGAGCTTCTCTGTTTCAAACTCGACCGAACAGGCTTGTCCAATTTGCGTAGGAGGACTACTACAATTGAAATAGTATCTCCAAATTTTTCTCCGTTATCATACTTTTCCTTATATAATTGTAAATCTTAACTGTACTTATTATATTCTTGCCATAATAAGTTAGAAGCATGGCATATATATTGTAACATATTCCCAATGAGCAATACAAAGAATCATAATTCAACAAGATGATTTTCGACTAAAACAGAGAAATCAAGACAAATAAATGGACATAGCAACACTCTTTGTATTTATAGAACCTTGTTGAATCAATGCTATGTTTGAAGTGGCCTCTTTAGAAGTTCCCTTAATATTAAAGATATAGAAAGTTCGAAGATTTTTTTTTATTGAATTTGTAATCGTACTTCATATTTAAAGTCTAAGTCGATCGGAAATTGTTTGGTAAAATCACGGAATGCATGCCTACATTGCCTAGTGCCGGCAGCTGCGCTCACTTGTAAAAATAGTGCAAGCTTTGTCCCATAATTTGGAGTGGCAAATTGAAAATTATACAACCTGTTAGCCTAGTAAAACCTCCACTTAGAAAAGTAGTGCAGGATTTGTCCCAATTGTAATTTCATAATTTAACTATATTTTGGTGGTCTTCTTATAAAAATAATACACACACACACACACTTTGGTTGATTTTCTTTACACCCCATATAAGCAAAATTCTGTCTCCGTCACTAATAAAAATCAGGCACTGTAAAACAAATGACAACATCTAGTAATTCGAAAACCAAAATACCATTATGAACAATAAATATACGTATAGAGGAAATATAAAGATCAACGAATTAAAAAATCCAATAACTAGACTTGATCACTCGCAAAGATGTAGAGTACTAGTACTAACTCTAATGCCAAGTAGCAACTCTGTTTTCACTTGCATTGCAAACTTTTGAGCTTCTTGGCTGACAGATCAAATGCAATGGTGCAGTCCATGGTGGAAGACTTCTTCTTCTTCATTATAAGCATCAGTTCAACCTTTCCAGTCACCTTAGCCGCACTGTTGAGGGTCAACACCCCGCTGCTCAATTCACTGCCAAGATTGGAACCGCTTAATGCACTCGAACTCAAGCTCACCTCAACATTCATTTTTTTGGTGGAAAGCATTCCAGCCTTGCTCTTTGGAATAACTACTTGCCCAACAGCTGCGCCTTGGTACAAAAACGTGACAGTGCTTGCATCAAACTTGTAAGGACCCCAGTTTGTGTTTTTCACCTTGATTTGGGTTGTGAATTTTGTGTCGAATGAAGGTGTTGCCGGGACGGAATTGAGTTCTTGGACGTCAATGTTGCCTAGCCTGACCTTAGGGGTCTTAACTTTCATGACAGTGAGACTGATCACAGTTATGACAATGATCTGAAACACAATGAAAACACCGACATAAATGGCCAACTTGATTCTCTTCTTGCGTTTGAGCTCATCGGCTGATTGCAAAGACTCTGCATCACTTCTCTGGTAACCATTTGCCGTGGCCAAGGGATAGGCTTGGTTGGTTTTCTCAGCCATGTTTCTTTTGTTTTCTGGTATGAAATGGGGAGGAAACTTTCCCTGCTTTTGTTTTGTCGGTTCGGTTTTCTTGGATTAAACTTGGTAGTGGAGGGAGTTGTTTGTGGAAATATTGGAAGAGTAGCGAGCTATATATGGTGTTTGGAGTTTGGCCTATTTTCAATGAGTTAAGAGGGGGAATGTATTTCCAGGAAATCGCGACTTGGGCCAAGAATTTTATTGCTAACGCCAACGCGTCCAAAGCCGAATGTGAAAACTTATTTTTGACTTCTAGATGATGGATGAGTTTTGAGAGGACTTTTAGCATATTGTATATCAACAGAAGCTTCGATTCTATCCGTTGGCATACACCACATCTCCCAAATGGCAGGTGAGATTGTGAACCATTACTTTATAATAATCACCCGTCACTAATCAAATTGGTAATAGTATTATCAAAATTAATATTTTCTTAATTTTGACTTATTCTGTTGTCTAATAAGGTTCCTCTTCAATTTATTGCTCGTAACCATTACAAGCAAGAAGTTCAAACTCTTGAAGATTGAGAGTTTTGGTCCTTTAAAGCAGAGGGATTAATATAAATTATGAAGATAATAGATAGGGGTGGAAAAAATTCCCGAAAATCCCGAACCGAACCGAAAAAATCCCGATCCCAAACCAAAAATTTCCCAAACCGAAATTTCCGAAATTTTCGGGATGCTATCCCGAACCAATCCCAAAATTTCGGTATGGGATTCGGGATTGGCTTCTCGATATTTCGGGAATCCCATACCAAACCGAAAATATATAATATTAATTATTATATATATTTATACATATATATATATATTACTCTTTTATAATTGATGCTAGTAGTTTCTAATTCATGCTCAGCAACCTAGAATGCCCTACACCTTGCATATTTTTCATGTTCTGTTTGATATTCATGTGGATTTTATTATTGCTGCTGCCATGGCTGATGATTTCAGAAGACTTGATTCTTTTGTCTCTCAACAGATTGCAAAAAGAGTTTAATTAATTTGAATTTTGACTATGATAAAAAGAGTCAAGCATGCCAATGTTCAATTAAATGGTAGTGTGAATGAAATGAAATTCCTAGTTCATAAATGTGTTCTTGAATTATATATTTGAAGAACAATTCATAATTTCATATTTCAATTTGGGATTCCCGATTTGTCCCAAAATCCCGAAAATATTTCGGGATTCCCAAAATTTGGGATTCCCGAAAATTTGGTTTGGGATTGGTCTTCAAATTCCCGTCCCAAAAAATTTCGGTTTGGGATTCGGTATACTAGTTTCGGTATGGTATCCCATACCGAACCACCCCTAATAATAGATGTGAATACACAGCTCTCACTACTATAAAAAAACACTTTGCACGACGAAATAAGATTTGCCGTGCAAAGTATGAATTCGTCGCTCAAAACCTTGCGTGACGAATTTTTTATCGCTAATGATTTGTCGCGCAAAGTTTTTGGTTTTTTTTTTTATATATTTTATTTAATTAAATTAATTTAATATTTTTCACAACGAAAATTGTTTTATTATTTCTCTTATTTTAATTTAATTATAGTAATTGTTTGCACGACGAAATATTTGGTAGCCCAAGATTTTTCGAGTTTTTACTTGTTTTTAATTTAATTTAATTATATGACTTTATTTTTTAATTGCTTTAATTTAAATTGATACATTCAAAATAAAATTATATATGAAAAATATTGATCAAATTATCCATAATATATATTATATTAAAAAATGTACATATAAATTAATAAAGTACAATAATAAAATCCTAATGCAAGTATATTGTAGTGGTGGTGTTTTTGGTTGGGGGGGGGGGGGGTGGATATGGTCCAATAGCATCCTAATTCTCAACTTCTCAACTTTCTCTGTCAGAGTCCCGACGATTCCCTACAAGAAAAAAAGCATGGTCAAATAACCAAAAAACAACATAAAATAATACCAAACAATTGGCATAACCTCCCCTAAAATCGGCATACCACAAATCTGACCCCGAACTCCCCATCACCCTGTACCTGACCCCAAATCCCACCCTAAACCCAAAATTAACTCCAAAAACACATTAATGAAAAAAAAATTAAAATTTAGGGAGAAAATACCTTCACTTAAGATTGAGAGTGAATGAGAGATAGGGAGGAGGAGAGAGTGTGAGACAGTGAGAGGAGATAGTGAGAGAGGAGAGAGTGAGTGAGTGAGAGATAGAGAGAGAGAGAGAGAGAGGAGAGAGTGAGTGAGTGAGAGAGAGATAGAGAGAGAGAGATGAGAGATTGAGTGTGAGTGAGAGGAGTGAGTATGAGAGTAATGTTCGGATTTAGGGAGAGGGAAAGAGAAATGAGAGGTAAGAGAATAAGGAGAGACAATGAGAAATTTGTGGAAGAGTTATTTTAGTTTTAAAAACCGTATCACTTTGATACCGGAGTTAGAAAACAAGACAAGTGAATGGGCATAGCAACACTCATTGTATTTGTAGAACCTTGTTGAATCAATGCTATGTTTTAAGTGGCCTCTTTAGAAGTTCCCTTAATATTAAAGATACAAAAAGTTTGAAGTTTTTTTTTTTCCATTGAAATTGTGAAAGGTATAGAATAGCTATGAAAATGGTGAAAGGTATAGAATAGCGAAGCAGGAGGTGAAGAAAGCTGTGAGAAAAGCTAAGCTAGCAACTTATGACGATATGTATAAGCGACTAGATACTAAAGAAGGAGAATTGGATATCTATAAACTAGCTAGAGCAAAGGAAAAGAAGACAAGGGACCTAAATCAAGTGAGGTGCATCAAGGATGAGGATGGAAAGATTCTTGCTACAGAGAACGCAGTCAAAGACAGATGGAAAGGTTATTTTCATAATTTTTTCAATGAAAAACATGAAAGGAGTACTTCTTTGGGGGAGTTGAGTAACTCAGAAGAGTGTAGAAACTACTCCTTTTAACTCCGAATCAGGAAGGAAGAAGTGGTTGTAGCTTTGAAAAAGACGAAGCATAGAAAAACAGTGTGCCCAGATGATATACCGATCGAAGTGTGGAAAGTCTTGGAAGAGACGGGTATAGCATGGCTCACAGACCTTTTCAATAGGATTTTAAAAACGTAGAAGATGCCAAATGAGTGGCGAAAGAGCACTTTGGTGCCTATCTACAAGAATAAGGGCGACGTACAAAATTGCATGAACTATAGGGGTATTAAGCTAAAGAGTCATACAATGAAGCTCTGGGAGAGAGTCATTGAGCATAGATTGAGGCAAGAGACACGGGTTTCGGACAACCAATTCGGGTTCATGCCAAGGTGCTCAACCATGGAGGCCATATATCTCTTAAGAAGATTGATGGAAAGATATAGAGATAGGAAAAAGCATTTACACATGGCCTTTATAGATTTGGAAAAAGCGTATGATAGGCTCTCAAGAGACATTCTTTGAAGGATTTTAGAGAAGAAAGGAGTACGAATAGCATATATCCAAGCTATAAAGGATATGTATGATGGAGCAAAGACTGTCGTAAGAACTCATGAAAGACAAACCGAAAGCTTCCCTATAACTGTAGGGTTACATCAAGGCTCATCCTTAAGTCCTTACATTTTTGCATTGGTAATGGATGAGTTAACGGGACAAATTCAAGATGATATCCCTTGGTGTATGCTTTTCGCAGACAATATAGTGTTGATAGATGAAACTCAGGAATGGGTAAATGCAAAGCTTAACCTTTGGAGAAAAGTGTTGGAATCTAAAGGTCTTTGCCTAAGCCGATCAAAGACAGAATATATGGAGTACAAGTTTAGTGCAAATGGAGGCCAAAATGAGTTAGGGGTGAGGATCGGAGATCAGGAAGTGCCAAAGAGCGACCACTTTCGCTACCTAGGATCTATCTTCCAAAAGAACGGAGAATTAGATGGAAACCTCAACCATAGAATACAAGCTGGATGGATGAAGTGGAAGAGTGCATCCGGCGTGTTGTGTGATTGCCGTATGCCACTGAAGCTTAAGGGAAAACTTTTAGGACGGCAATAAGGCCGGCGATGCTGTATGGCACGGAATGTTGGGCGGTGAAGCATTAAAACGTACATAAAATGGGTGTAGCAGAGATGAGGATGCCTCTTTAGATGTGTGGGCGCACGAGAAAGGATAAGATTAGAAATGAGGATATCCGAGGTAAAGTAGGAGTGGCCGAAATTGAAGGAAATATGAGAGAAAATCGGTTACGGTGGTTTGGACATGTGCAAAGTAGGCCTACTGATGCTCTGGTTGGAAGATGTGACTAAGGGACAGAGGTTTAGGGCCAAAGGGGTAGAGAAAAACCTAGGAAAACTTTGGAAGAGACTCTAAGAAAAGACTTAGAGTACTTGGATCTAACGGAGGACATGACATAGAACCGAACGCAATGGTGTTCTAGGATTCATATAGCCGACCCCACTTAATGGGAAAAGACTTTGTTGTTGTTTTTGTGAAATTGTAATTGTATTTCATAATTAAAGTCCTAGTCGATCGGAAATAGTTTGGTAAAAATCGCGGGCAGAGCTAATGCATGCCTAGTCAGTGCAGGCTGTGCAGCTGCGCTCACTTGGAAAAATAGTGCAGGGTTTGTCCGATTAATTTTGGAGTGGCAAATTATAGAACCGGAGCGTAGTAAAACCTCCACTTAGAAAAGTAGTGGAGGCTTTGTCCCAATTGGAATTTCATAATTTAACTATATTTAGTTTATTTTTTTACGCTCCACATGAGGAATTAAAATTTTGGCTCTGTTACTGATAAAATTCAGCCTTAGTAAAACAAATGACAACGATTCAAAAATCAAAAGTAGCATTATGAACAACAAATATACGTATGTAGGAAATATAAAGATCAACGAATTAAAAAATCCAATAACTAGTCTTGATCACTCCCAAAGATGTAGTGTACTAGTACTAACTCTAATGCCAAGTAGCTAATCTGTTTTCACTTGCATTGCAAACTTTTGAGCGTCTTGGCTGACAGATCAAATGCAATGGTGCAGTCCATGGTGGAAGACTTCTTCTTCTTCATTATAAGCATCAGTTCAACCTTTCCAGTCACCTTAGCTGCACTGTTGAGAGTCAACACCCCGCTGCTCAATTCACT